CTGTTCTCTGCAAGGGTTCCCCGTTTGAACTAACACGGGTCCTGCGACATTAGAACTAAGAAAGACACATGTATCTGTGGTGATTAAAAGCACCCTTCAGCCCCGCGAGCCCCTGAGGAGCTTACTCTCACGGCTTGTACATTTCTAGCAGGGCTTTTCAGACAGAAGAAGGGGGTAACCGCCTACCGCTAACTCCCGCTCGGCTCCGGGCACCGCTAACCTGCGCCGCCCGCTCTCCTCTCGGCGCAACCATCAGCGCCAGTGAGCATGCCGGCCCCGCCGCCGCCGCCGCCACCTCAGCGAGGGCAGCACCGCCTCAGGGGAGGAGGCTACTCCCGCCCGGGCCTCGCACCCCTCACTGGCTTTCCCGCCAAACGCCGCCCCTGCAAGGCTGCGCTCGTCGTTCGGTGTTGACGGCTGAAGGAGCCAGGCTGCGCCTCCCCGTTGTGAGGGGAACAAGCGGCGGCAGGGACGTGCCCGGACCGGCTGTTGATGCCGGTGGCAGTCCCGGAGATTGTCAGCTCTTGAACCTCTTGAGCTTCACCTTCGCTGCCAGTTGGGTAAGGCAGTTGTTACATAGAAACATGTCTTCAGACCCTCTTCCACTGGCCCCCGAGTCAGCAAGGCCTGCCTAGCAAAACCCAGTTTTACGCCTCTTCCTCAAATCCTTCCTTCCCAAGCCTTTAGAAATCATTCTCGCAGTTTATTTGCTACTGCAATAGGAATAAAAATGCTCATACGTACTATGAAGTTCAAAAGAAAGATGTTCTCTTTTGCCACAATGTCTGTATGGTGTTTGTTCATCTTTATTCACAGCTTGGGTTATTGTGTGACCCGTATCTGTCCCTCATGCAGTACTGAACTTGAATGGGTTTTTCTGGACTAACAGTGGGAAATGTACCACTTTGGATAAGAAAATAAATGTGTTTGGTTTTGTTTTTGTTTTTTTTTATAAATTTTTAGCTTTCACTTACTCTTTGCTAATCATAAAATTATGTTTCTGCATTATAATTATTAACAAAACCCCTAACAAAGTAGTAAAGTATAAACACATCCCAATTTTTTTCCCTAAAAGGGACCTATATTTTGTGTGTGTGTTATCAAATCCTTTCTTTTACATCTTTCACGAAGAGGCCCTGCAACAACAGCTGGACCAAACAGAGCTATACCTGCCTGACTGACTCACCAAAATGATGGAGATTTTCCAGCATGTTCTGCTGTCTGTCAAGATAGCCAGGTAAAAATAAACCAGCCTAGTCAACTCATAAAGTTTAGCAGTTCTGGCAAGGAGTGTTTTTTTTGCATAGCCCAGATTTATCTCTCTGGAAGCCATGGTCTTCAGATAGGAAGATTCTGCTTTCCTACTCTAAGGGTGTTTGAAGGATTAATGGGGTGGCTTTCTGTTTTCCATAGGTCTGTGTATATGCTATTTCTCTCTGAAAGACTTTACTTCATTTGTGACAAATCCTGTTGTGAGGAGCCTTGATGAGTTGGTGAAACAATGTTGTAGAAATACCTTCAGTCTGATGTGTGTTTGCGGAAAAAGTATGATGTAACTTTGAAAACTACATTCAGTACTTCAGTTTGAGTCAAGTAACCTCAGAAAGAAATGAGTGACTCTTATAGAAGAATTTATGCTTAATGCAATACAGAAGGGTTAACCTATAAGTAAAACAGCAAATGCCCTTTGTATTTAAATGTTATTTGTGCTTCATCAACAGTCTAGAGAAATACATGGCCAAGGATTTTAATTGCATGTTTTAGTATCTAGTACTTCCAAGTTTTTACTGTAATGCAGTTTTGTGTCGTACCTTGACTGGTACAGGAGGATTACAAAGAGTGTAAAGACTGCCAAGGCATTACCTTTGGGCAGGTCAGGTTTTATGATCTTTGTGCTGCTTCTGTACAATGGCAAGTACAGGAAAGCTCTGAAGAGAACAACTATGCCTTATTTTTGCATTTGCAAGGATACGCACTGTATGAGGAGACAACAATACCTATTATTACTCACATTTACTTGAAGTTGAGTAACAATTTAAGGAATAGATGGGAATGTTTTAAAAAGCTTTTGCATCTGCCAAAGTGAATCTAACATTATGTTTTATAGCATGCTGATTTTTGTATCAAGTTAATTTTACTCTAATGTATAATAAACTTCTTGTCTCATTCTAATTATACATTATTTAAATCACACGTAATAGAAATAGTCAAGAGAATTCAACAGACTACAGGGAGTAAGCTGTTCTAGGCACAGACTTCTAATGCATCAGAGTTATTTAACTGTCTTCTGGGCCTTAACATTTCTGAATGTTTTATCTTACATTTACAGTTTTCTAGATAAAAATGCGATGTGGTGTGGTTTAATATAGCTGGTACTAAACAACCATATTTAATTGCTGATCAGTGTTTTTTCCATTACAGTATTTTTAACTTTTCTGTTTTGTAGTAAAACACGGTCTTTTCATACATCTGAAAAACAAGCTATGGAATCAGTTTCTTCAAGGGGCATACCTTTTTGGTGGGTTATCAAACTGGAATGCATTTAATACTGACAAGTTACTAGTCTCAGTGAAGGATACACCTTTTGACAAGGGATGTTCTAGCCCACATCCATTTGTTGTGTTGAATTATTTGTAAGAGTTGGAAAATATTTGGGATTTGGTTTTTGTGGGGTTTTCTTGTTCTGTTTTAAAAGTCCAGCATTCTGGTTCTGCAGGCTTATACTTGTGCCTGGCAATATATTTCATTGTATGTGCTTAACATGTGCTGGAACTAGGATGTCAAGCTGAAGTAGAGAGAAATGCCTTGCTAGTTAGATAATAATGCTCAGTAGCTTGCAAGATCTAAGCTGGACAGCTTGCAAAGAGCTATATATGACGGTGTTTTAAAAAACCTCAGCCAGTCTAATGGTGTATTTACTTACCTCTTTTTATTTCTGCAGTTGTTCAACAGAAACATATACCCATGTGCAGCCGCACTATGTATGTTTTTACACTTTAGCTTTTAATGTATACCCTGATCTAGTATTTTCTGTATAAATTGAGTGATAATAAATTAGTTTTCTCTCTTCAGAAATTAAAGTATGGGTTCTTTGGTTGCTTTATTTCCAGAAAAGATAACTGACAGCATTAACTGTTATCCACTTCAACACTTCAAAATAAAAAATTGAGCTCTCTACTATGGGAACAAATTCTGACATTAATTCTAATATTACTCTCTTTAAGCTGGTTTTAGATATATGATGTAAACCCACCCAGTTTTATAATATTGACCATTGCTTGGGGCTGTTTGGTTTTTTTTTAAACTGCTCTGCAGATCTGACCCAAATTGTGATTTTTAATGGAAAAAAAAAATTAAATACATGGATTAAAAAAATGTGATAATTAGTGTATGAATGCTATTCACAAAAATGGTGGACATATTTGATAGCCCAAATTTTTACATGCTTTTCTTCTGGATTTCCTAATGGCATTATTTCAAATCAATGCTATTTTCTGTAATAAACCCCCTATTCTGTAACTTAACAACATGCAAACACATTTTCATCTATGTCGTATTAGTTGTCACAGAGGTGTTAACTTGGAAATGGTGTTTTTTGGACTTTAAAGGACACTGCTTTGATAAGAAGGATTTTAAATACACCTGAAAACAGAACACTTAGCTACTTAAAAAAACCCTAAATTTTCTTTTTACTCTAACCTAAACTTCTGGTGAGTCTTAATGATGAAAACTTGAAAAAGATGGTTTGAGGTCTATGAAAACCATTAATGGAGATCTTGTGGGTTTGGTTTTTAAATGAGGTTCTTGTCCAAATAACAATTCCCTACCCGCAGCAGATGGTGAGGTCCTGTTTCCATTTGGCCTTTAAGCATTTAAGGAGTAAACAGTGCTACAATATTCTTCCATATATAGATCAACTTGGCATGCTACTACACTTCATTCCTCCAGCTTTGTGCCACAGTTGCAAAAGGCCCTCTGGGACTTAGCTGGGGAACCCTTAGAAAAATAAAAGCAAACTGCTTTAGGTTTGTTTGGTTGATTGGTTTTTGTTTGTCTGGTTTTTGGTTTTTAGCTGAAAATTCCTGTTAGTTTTAAATCAGTCTTGAACAGTACAGCCACTGTGCCCCGTAGGTCTGCATTTGGCTTGTTGAATCATCTTGATTTTACCCCTAAAACAGAGGACCTGAACTGTGATTTAGATATATTCTTGATTCACTTTTAAGTTGGTAGAGGGGGAAAAAAACGTTTTCTTCAAATAACGTTGTCACGCCAATGCAGCAACAGACCACTTCTGCCTTTCAGCTCTGCCTTTCCACTTACCTGCGCTTTTTGCAATTAAAAAAGAAAAGTATGAATGTGAAGTGTTACACTCTGGCTCGCCAGCTCTTCAAGCAGCTGGATAGTTTGGAGCATTAAAATGTCAAAAGCTGGCCGTTCTGTTCCGGAGCTGCGGCAGCTCCCGCTGCTGAGAAGCGCCTCTTGGCTGGGGGCAGCTCCTAGGAAAAGGCGCGGGTCTTAACTGCTTTATTGCGGTCTTCACTTGATCGGGGAGCGGAATTCGGTGCACCTCTGAAAGGCGAGGAGAAGGGCTCTTGCGCCGCCGTCTTCTGGCGGCGATGCCCGCCTGTGAAGCACCTGACGGGAAGACACCCATACCCTTACCAGGGCAGTGTGCTAGAGGCGGAAAGGCCGCCCTCCTATCAGCTCCCGTGGAGCCACCACCCTCGTGAGGATCCCCCCGCGGGAAGCAGGCGAATTCAGGCCGCTGCGGGGCAGCAGCAGAGGGAACCGGGCTTCCCGTGGAGCCCTGCTCGGCTCCCTCCTACTGGCATGCTGGGAGTCGTAGTCCGCCCGGTCAGAGCCGCCTCTCTGCTTCCGGGAGCAGCTAGCGGCCGTTGGAAGGGGAGCGGGACCGGACGGACCGAGGCTCGGGTCACGTGGGGTACGTGTTGACTTCCTCGACAGGCGGGGGGCGGGGCTCCGGGAGTTGCCGGCGGTGGCGGAGGGAGGTTGTGTGGTCGGGCTCCGCGGCGATGGGATCCCGAGGTGGCCCCGGTGGAGGCTGCGTCGGGCGGCGGTGCCTCTCCGCCGGGGTGACCGCACACCACTGACTCGCCCGGCCTGAGCGGGGCCTGGAGAGGTTTGTCCTGGCGCGGGGGACGGGCCGCGGGCGGGGCACGGGGGCTGCTGGGGACGCATCGGTGCCCGGCGTGTGGCCGCGGCCTTGCGGTCGGCCCCTCTCCCGAGGGGTGCTGGGGAGCTTCGTGCCCTGTTGCCCCGTGGAATAGGAGCGGTTCCCCTGGGGACAGGGCCGGTTCTGGCCGGTCTTCAGATTCTCAAAATAGAGGGATCAAGTTGGTAGTAGAGTGTAATATCCCTGCCTGTGCTCTGCAGGTGCATCATGGATAGGTTAAAGAGGGATCTCCCGTTGAGAGACGGGTACTGCTAGTGAGCTGGGAGTGGGCCTCAGGTAGGCAATAAAGCCAGTTAAAAAGCTACACCCCATTAAGCTGAAAAACCGGTTGAGTTTTTAGCGCAGCAATTTATGTGTTAGAACAGGGGAATCTGGCAAAGGAAATGAACAAAGTAGGATTATTTGCACAAGATGTGGAAACAGAAATATGATGAAATACTGGAGCAGACTGGAATACAGGTGTTGCAGGCTGTGTTGGTTTGCATAGAAGTACAGGTGTAGGGAGTACAGGTGAGTGTTGATGTAGTCTTAGGTGCTAGTAATACTCCAACTTTTCAGAATTTACAGCTTTAAAGCCTGGTGTTTCAACTGGTAAGGAAGTCACTCTGGTCTCCTTAAATAAGCCTGCTCCCCACCAGTTTACGGGAGAGTGTGGGTTGGGCTATAAACTGTTCCAGTGAGTGGTTTTAGGAGCTTTTGCATTTGTTGGGAAATTCTTTAGGTTTCCTGCTGTCCTGCACTGTGTGCGTGCGGTAACATCAGCATACTGGAAGCCAGGTCTGGAAGAAGCAGAGTAAGGGGAGGATTATTGTCATAACATATTGTTTGCACTGGGTGCCAAAGGTTAGGTGCTCTTCGGATACAAGAGTTTATTCAGATTACAGTTCACAAAAGGATAAAGTGAGCATGGGCAGAATACTGGTTAGGTTATGTTTTACAATGAAGATTAAATAGTGAAAAGGCCTTTAACACAGCAAAGGGGACAAAGTGATATTTTTGTGCAGCAAAAATGGGTAATAAAATAGAGATAATTTTATGATTGCCTAAATTTCAGCAAATACTCTGATTTGCTTTTCAGTATGTCTCTTTTTATATATGGCAGCATAAAGGTGGGGAGAGTGTGAAATTTACCAGATCAAGTACATGAACAGACTGTATTTAGTATAGTCAGAGTGCAGAAATAGAATAATTGCATCTCACAGTGTTGAAAAAAACTGTACATGAAGTTGCAAATACAGTAACATTTGTTCTCATGATACCACAAGATACCTTGAATTGAAGACTGTGATTTATATGACTGGAAAATGTTAAATGTGGGTTGTCCACTTATGAAAGTTACCCTGAAAAAAGTGCAGACCTGTCGCTGCATATGCTATCAGTGTCTGACTTCTAAAGAAGAGATTTTGAAAGAAATAAGTGGAAAGGTAGAAGGAAGTGGGATAAAATGCAGTGTGGACATACTTTTTGATACACATTTTAATTCTTTCACAGGTATTTTCTAAACAGAGGAAGTCCAGATGGGCAATATTCAGTAAAACAGTTGCAGTGGGTTCGAATTTGTTAAAATGGCGATGATGGGATTAATACAAGAATCGGGATAGTAACTAGCTTGGTGTAAGTCAATGGTGGGTTCTGCTGAGGGAACTTCCAGAGATTCTGTATGTTTGTGATTTATTCACAATTAGCTTTGCAGTTACTCTTACATTTTCATGACATGTTTATACTTTAATTGCATTAACTATTATTTACATGATTATATAATATTTTTATGTTGAGATCTTGGTGTATAAAATCATAAATGCTTCCAAAATTTGACAGGTTATCTGGGAAGAAGAAGTTTGAGAAGGGAAGTGAGGCATAAGTAACTTGGACACTCAGTCATCCACTTAGACTAGAACTTGTGTTCAAATATCCAGGTTTGCCTGAAATAATGAGATGTAGACCTGAATTGTAGAATAGCGTAGGTTAGGAAGGACCTGGAAAGATCATCTGGTCTAGTCTTTTGTGGGAAAGGAAGCCTAATGAGATTATCACTCTGTACAGTTGTGTCTTGAAAACATCCAGATGTTCTGGTAGGATGACCAAGGGCCATCAGCGTGAATCAGTTCAACTTGCCTTTTAAGAGCTGTAATAATATCTTATCACCAAACTTGTGAGCTTATTGAATATTAATTAATCTGACTGGGAGGAAACTGATGACTGAGGTAAGACCTACTGTTTGTTTTACAAAAGGAGGTTTAAAAATAACCCAAACCAAATTCCCTTTAGTTTTTGTAAATGGCAGTTCTTTACAAACATTTTGAAATGGGAAGGAATTAAGACCAAAAAAGTGTCTATTAAAATAATATTCAGTGTTAGCACATATGAGAACATATGGGTTTTTCCGCAACCTTTGAATATACTTACATTTGGTGCTAGAAAAGTTTAACAGCCAGGAGCCGTCTTGCTCCTGCTTGTGTTTCTTTGGCAATATTGCTTCTAATTAGTTTAGAGATTAAATTTAGTAGTTTAATAATCAGGATTGTATGGTGCTGAGAGGGCAATATTTGACTCCAACTTTTTTGTTCTCCCCCCACCCCTGGCCCTTCCTTTCCTTTTCTGGTAGTTATGAGGGAAACTGGTTGTTGTGACAGCATCCACAGACAGGCAGATGGACTACATTATGTTGAGGATGTGTAGGGTTTGCAGATTAGCAGCGAAGGTACTAGAGTATGAAATTGTTCAGATAAAGTAAAATTTATCAAGCACTGTTGTCATAAAATGTATTTCTTGTGAGAGTAGATCATTTATTGTAAAAAGCTTGAGATTGAAAAAATTGCCCATTATACCTAAATAGGTTTTGTTTGGCTCCTCTGGCTTACCCAGATGTTCACAATAAAAACCAGAAACTACTCACTGTAGTTCATCTGAGCTGAGAGGTAGTTACTTCACTTCCTGGAGGCAGCAAAATCAATGCTATCTGGAGGTCTGATTTAACTGATGTATTGAGGTGTTTCTGAAAGAGTATCAAGTATGCTGAAGCTGCAGGGGTGTGCCCTTATATGCCTGAACTTTCAGGGAGTGCTTTGGAGCTGTAGACTTTGCCCATAGGGAAGAATAAGATAGTTGGTTGACGTTCAAGGACTGCTTTTTCCGAGCTCAAGATCGGAGCATCCCGACACGTAGGAAGTCAAGGAAGAGGGTCAGGAGACCTGCGTGGCTAAATAGGGAATTGCTCGGTATGCTCAAGTGGAAGAGGAGAGTTTACAGGTCATGGAAGGAAGGGCTGGCCACTTGGGAAGAATATAAGGCTGCTGCTAGAGGATGTAGGAAAGCTGCTAGGATGGCTAAGGCCTCCTTGGAATTAAAGCTGGCGAGAGGGGTCAAGGACAGCAGAAAGAGCTTTTTCAAATACATGGCAGGTAAAACTAACACCAGAGGCAATGTAGGCCCGCTGATGAACGGGACGGGTGCCCTGGTGACAGAAGGTACAGAGATGGCAGAGTTACTGAATGCCTTCTTTGTCTCTGTCTACTCTGCCGGAGGCAGTCCTGAAGAGCCCTGTACCGCTGAGACCTCGGATGAAGATAGGTCAACGGAGCGGTCTGCCTTAGTCGATGAGGAATGGGTTAAAGACCAGTTGAGCAATCTGGATATCCATAAATCCATGGGTCCAGATGGGATGCACCCGCGGGTGCTGAGGGAACTGGCTGAGGTCATTGCTAGACCGCTCTCCATCATCTTTACCAAGTCTTGGGAAACGGGAGAGGTGCCTGAGGACTGGAGGAAAGCAAATGTCACTCCTGTCTTCAAAAAGGGCAAAAAGGAGGACCCGGGTAACTATATACCGGTTAGCCTTACCTCCATTCCTGGGAAAGTGATGGAACACCTTATCCTTGGTGCCATCTTAAGGCATATCAACGATAAGAGGGTTATGAGGGGCAGTCAACATGGCTTCACCAAGGGGAAGTCGTGCTTGACCAATCTCGTAGCCTTTTATGAGGAAATAACACGGTGGATGGATGATGGCAGAGCAGTGGATGTGGTCTACCTTGACTTCAGCAAAGCGTTTGACACGGTCTCCCACAGCATCCTTGCGGCTAAATTGAGGAAGTGTGGTCTGGATGATCAGGTAGTGAGGTGGACTGTGAACTGGCTGAAGGAGAGAAGCCAGAGAGTTGTAGTCTATGGGGCAGAGTCTAGTTGGAGGCCTGTATCTAATGGAGTGCCTCAAGGGTCGGTACTGGGACCAGTATTATTTAATATATTCATCAACGATTTAGATGAGGGAATTAAGTGTACTATCAGCAAGTTTGCTGATGACACTAAGCTGGGAGGGGTGGCCGACACGCCAGAAGGCTGTGCTGCCATCCAGAGAGACCTGGACAGGCTGGAGAGCTGGGCGGGGAATAACTTGGTGAAATATAACAAGGGAAAGTGTAGAGTCCTGCATCTGGGCAGGAACAACCCCAGTTTCCAGTATAGGCTGGGGAACGACCTGTTAGAGAGCAGTGTAGGGGAGAGGGACCTGGGGGTCCTGGTGGACGACAGGGTGACCATGAGCCGACACTGTGCCCTTGTGGCCAAGAAGGCCAATGGCATCCTGGGGTGTATTAGAAGGGGGGTGCTTAGTAGGTCGAGAGAGGTCCTCCTTCCCCTCTACTCTGCCCTGGTGAGACCTCATCTGGAATATTGTGTCCAGTTCTGGGCCCCTCAGTTTAAGAAGGGCAAGGACCTGCTGGAGAGAGTCCAGCGCAGGGCAATTAAGATGATTAAGGGAGTGGAGCATCTCCCTTATGAGGGAAGACTGAGGGAGCTGGGTCTCTATAGTTTGGAGAAGAGGGGTGACCTTATTAGTGTATATAAATATATAAAGGGGGAGTGTCACGAGGATGGAGCCAGGCTCTTCTCAGTGGCAAACAATGATAGGACAAGGGGTAATGGGTACAAATTGGAGCACAAGAGGT